TCCCCCCCCCCCCCCCCCCCTTTTTTTTTTTAATTTCTAAAGGTCATGCGTGCTAGTCGGAGAGAGAGAGAAAGAGAGAGAGACAGAGGAAGAATGCACCCCCAATAGTGGGTTGTGGTTACACTATGATCTCTTTTCCTCTGTTGCTCCATCCCATCAGGATTTGGGGCATGCATGCACATATGCACAGCTTGTCTTTCAAGCCTCAGGGCCAGGATTCAAATCATGATTGGCCGTGGGGGAATCTGTTTTCCCTAACTTCTAGGCCACAGATTTGGGCTCCCTCTTAGTTTTTAATATTTCTCCTGGAGGTGTATGTTAGTGAGACATTGAAAATCCTTCTGAATGATACCACTCTTGTTTAACCTGAAGCTTCGTGGGCAGTGTAGATAACTGTGTTTATAACTGCGTTTATCAAAAGATTTGTTACTAGATTATAGGAATTCACAAAGTATGTTGAGACCATTAGAATTCACAGAGGATTATGGGACCAAATAATAAACAGATTGTCAAATAAGTTTTTCCTTCTCTTCCCAGCCTGTTTGCTGGTCTTTAAGTATTGTGCAAAGAATAATACAGGAAAGTAGAGTACTGTCTACTACATATATAATTTCAGTTAAACTTAAGAGCTGTCTAGGAATTATTTTTATTTTGTATAAGGACGCTGAGACGTGGAAGTTGTTTGGGGACACTATCTACTGAATGGTGCAGTTGGTATTTGAATCTAAGTCTTTCTGGTTCTGCTCTTTCTTTCTGCTCTTTTCCAACATGTGTTATTGCCTCTCCAAATCAGAAAGTTCAGACAACCACTGTGTTGTAGACAAAGAAAAGAAGAAAATACGTAAGTCTGTTTCCAAGTTTAAGTTTTCTGTTCTTTGATCATGAAGTGCTTCCATGTTTACTTCTGAGTATATGAAAAAGTGAAGAAGGAATGGGGTGGTGGGGTGCAGATGAAGGGTCCATGGGGTAAAATGACACCATTTGGATGGTGTAATTCTTGAGGATGTGTGCTGTCAAAGGTTTGTCTAGTTTCCTTATTTACTTATATCTTCCTCAGAAAAAAGATTCTTACCCAATTTAGCTATCATAATTCGACACCTCTGCAAGACTGTGTCTTTAAACTAGGTTACAGATTTTTCAGGGAGAAGAATGCCTTTCGGTATAGGTAATCTCTTTACTGCTTATTTTAGTCTCTTGCAGTTAATAGATATTGTGGGAAATTGAAATAATTGTTTTTTCTTTTAGATTAACTGCTGAAGTACTGATCAAGTTCTGCGTTTCTTCAATGAGGAACTATAGGCTGATCTTCTGCCATAATCTTAAACAGCCATAAATGACAAAAGAATGCTTGCTCAGTGAGGGTAGCTGGTGCAGAAGCCATTTTTTAAACGTAGGTGTTTAAGTACTCAAAGGTAAGTTTTCAAAATGGTAACTATCTCATGCTGTGTAAAATCCACAAAGGTTTTAGATTTTCCTCAGTGTACCTGCTATTTGATTATTAACTTTAGGCTTTGTAGTTACTGGCTGATATGAGATGTGTTGAAGAAGCGATGTTACTTGTCTAAGTCTCTAAATATGTGGCATTTTGCTATCCCTAAGTGAATTTCTAGTCTTTATAAATTGGCTGGATTGTTTCCTACTTCTCTGATACTCTCCTGTTCCAGTGGGTGTATACCAGATTCAGTGGACCTTACTTTTGTAAACTTTAGAATCTTGAGTAAATTTATCTTTGTGATCTTTTATCTTTTTTCTTGCAGTGAGAAAGGAATTGTTTCTCTCGGGACATTGGTAGCATTTTGTTCATTATCAACTTTTGAAAAAAAGTTTTTCTTTTTTAAAAAAATAATTCTTTACCATATAAAGTGATAATCCTTTATTTTAGAAAGTGAATTTTTCTTGGGATCACTTGTTCTCTTGGATATTGGAAGTGATCATCTGAGACACCTCCCACTACTTCTTACTACCATTTTACAAAGTTAAAAGAAATAACCTTCAGAAGAGAACTTTTTTGAATAATTATGAATCAACTGTGTTGATAAAAGGACTTTTCTCATCAAAGTTTGATGTCCAAAACTGAACATTTTCCTTTGTTTAAACAAAAATAGTATTATGGTTGCTTTGTTGTATAGAAATCAGAACTGGTTAATTTTGTTCTTATTAGCTCATCGCTTATAAAAAGTGATTATTAGCCTCTCACTTTATGAAAAGTGATTCTTTTCTATTTGGTGCACATGAATTGAGAGGTTAGATGAGCTTTATTAAGCAGAGTCCAGGGGTAGACCGGCTTTGGCTTTTTACTTGTACCATTAGTAAACCTTGTCATTAATGGTCTTCTTGGAGGATTTGCCCCTTAATTTGTCTTTGATACATTAATGTCCAAAATTTAATTGCTAAATTTTGGATGATCAATTTTGCCATTGTTTGATAAATGTTTAAACACTAAAGGGAGCATTCAGAACTAACTTTCTAGTACAGAAATTGCTTAGAAAATTGTATTGAGCTTTATTTGTAGAACACACTGCGGGCCTGATAACTGGAACATATTTAAATACATAACAACACATTCAGATGTAAAGCATTTTTCTTTAATGTATTTAGTCATATTGCCACCTCTTAATCATTATAGTCTTTTTTTTTTTTTTTGTCTTTCATTTGGCAGAAAAGACAGCTTGATTTCTGGCTGCAAAAAAGATATGAGGAAGAGCTCCTCCCCTTCCTTGAGTAACTGCAACTCCGTTCTTGCTAACAAAATATTTGGAATTCCACTTGATGAGCTGCAGCAGGGAGGACATCCAGACAATGAGGTTCCATTCATAGTCCGCCACGTTGTGGACTATATTGAGGAACATGGTATACATTTCCTTACTTCGAGGGCTAGCTTTTGTTTTAATGAACACACTTTATCCCTTTTTGACCTTGGATTTTTAAAAATTTTTTTTAAAGTATGGAAAGTCCAAAACAGAGGAAAAACAATAGAAGTTCTTTTAAACGTTTTAATATGCTTTTTACTTATATTCATATACTTAGAAATGAGAGTTGCCCAGCCTAGAACATTTTTAGTGGGGGTGATAGGAATATTTTTAATGGATAAAAGGGGTGGGATAAAGTAGAATAGACTGCAGTACAGAGATAGTTTGTTTCTAAATGTATAATTTGAAGGTTCTTTTTTTAGCCAAATCAGGGAAGCCAAGGAAGGCTTTCCAGAACTATGTGCATTTTAAGTTGATTGGAGAATGAATATGTAGGGTCATGTAGTGAAGTCGTAGCTCATTTAATTTTTGCGTTGAAATAATGTAGGAGGTCTGGAGCAACAAGGACTTTTTCAAGTCAATGGAAATGCTGAGACAGTGGAGTGGCTTCGGCAGAGATACGACAGTGGAGAAGAAGTGGATTTGGTCAAGGAAGCAGATGTTCCCTCAGCTATTAGTCTTCTTAGGTTTTTTCTTCAAGAACTTCCTGAACCTGTTATCCCTGGCAGTTTGCATATTCACTTGATGCAGCTTTCTCAAGGTAATGTATTTGATTTTTAACAGTCCTTTATATTTTAAGAGTCTTTGCCTTTTAGAAATGTTGACATTTAAACAGTAAATATAGTATTTCATAGATCATTTTGTTTCCTCCTTTACTCTTTGAGGCTTTTAAGGTCTTTTCAAGGAAATGGCAACTTCTTGATCACTTTAGCACTATTTATTTTTTATTTTATTTTTACAATTTTTGTTAGGTTTTTGCCATAGGGCATGTATATATGCTGGAGACAGAGATAGAGAGAGGGCAAGTGAGAAACCATCTCCCATGGGGGATGGGTACACTGCTGTCCCTTCTCTTCCATTTTCTTTCTGGGATTTTGGGCACTCATCATGCTCATGTGCCTAGCATGACTAGCAAGCTGCCAGGTCTGGAACTTGAACTGGAGTAGGTCATATGGGAATCCAGCACCTTACCACCACACACCTCCTGGCTCCAGTACTATTTAATTTTTATAGTTTTTTTTTTTAATATTTATTTAATTCCATTTGTTATTGTTATTATTACTATTATTATTATTAATTTGACCAGAGAGAAACAGAGAGAGAAAGGGAAAGTGAGAAAGCAAGCTGCAAGGTCTGGGACTTAAATTGCAGTCGGCCATGTGGGAATACAGCGCTCTTAACCTCTATGCCACCTGCTGGCCCATGATTGGTCTTTTTAAAACTAAGTTACAGGGTTGGGGGACCAGCAGGTGGCGTGGTGGTTAAGGTGCTGGACATTCCCACATGGTCAGCCGTGGGCCAAGTCCTGGACCTGGTGGCTTGCTTTCTGACTTTCTCTGGACAAATTAAAATAAATAAATGAATAAATAAAATAAAAAAGAAACAATTCTTTAAAAAAACAAAACAAAACTAAGTTACAGAGTGAGAAGGAGGAACTGCATGAGTCAAGAACAGGGTATAGGAGGAGGGTAGTGAAAAAGAAGAAAACAATATATAAGGTAATATCTGTGGTAGAATGACCAGTAATAGCTCAAGGTATTACTTGGTGATAATTATTAGTATGATAGGGTGCTTATCCCTGGTTTAATAGAATTTTTTTCTCAAAAACCAGACAACTCTGATTGCAGGATTAGAATATGCCCTAAAACTTGTTCTTGGTAAAGGAAATAAAATATCAAATTGGACATCAGACTCCAGACCAAAGAAAAATATAAATTTGTCCTTGTTAGTTTTATTTATTTTTTTTAGAGATTTTTGCTATAGAGCACATGTGCTTACTGGAGAGACACAGATAGATAACGAGAAATCACCCCCTGTGGGGATGGCCACACCGAATCCCTTCTCTTCCATTCTCCTCTTGTGATTTTGGGTACTCACGCACAGATGCCTGGTGTGAGTTTTAAGCTATTGAGTCCGGGATTTGAACCACGGTAGATTACGTGGGAGTCTAGTACCTTAACCAGTACACCACCTGCTGGCCCCGTCCTTGTTAGTTTTTTGGTGGTAACTAAAAGTAAGACTTAGTTGGAATAGAATACGAATAGGAAAATTAATGATAGAGACAGACAGGTAAAAGAACCATGAAGTGGGGCCGGCATGTGGCATGGTGGTTAAGGTGCTGGATTCCCACATGACCAGCTACGGTTCCAGTCCAAGGCTTGGTGTCTTGCTCCTCCCCCCAACCCCCCCACGTCACCCTGGTCAAATAAACAAACAAACAATTAAATAAAAATAATTCTGAACCAAGAAGTAAGGAAATGTTGTTGTTCCTAGAGCCAATTGATATTCATGTGTATGTAATGAAGAGACATGTTTTATTATATAGGAAAATTTATGAAATTGGCATATAATATACATTCCTTCGATTTTAAAATTATTTTTCAGGCTTTATTTTTTTTTTAAATTTCTGGAGTTCTTTTTTTTTTTGGAGAAGTTTTTGATATAGGGCGCATGCGCTCGCCAGACAGACAGAGAGAGACAGAGAAACAGAAAGTGAGAAATCCCCCCCCCCCCCCAGGGGGGATGGTCACGCCGCAATCCCTTCTCCTCCATTCTTTTCTCGGGATCCTGGGCACGCACGCACATGCGCCTGGCGTGAGTTTTAAGCCACCGGGTCCAGGACGCGAACCGCGGTTGACTACGTGGGAGTCCAGCGACATAGCCATTACGCTAACTGCTGGTCCCAAATTTCTGGAGTCCTTATGCACTTGCCTGAGAAAGATAGAAAGAGAGGGAAAGTATAAAAGCACTCCATAAGGGGGACTAGCCATGCTGCAGTCCTTCCACTTCTTATTTTGGGATTTGGAGCATGTATGCACACATGCTTGGCTTGCTTTTCAGGTCACCAGGTTTGGAACTTGAACCATGCTGTTGACCATGTGACTGGCCACCTTAACCACCATGCCACTGGCTGGCCCCATTTCTTCTTCTTCCTTCTTTCTTCTTTCTTCTTCCTTTCTACTTTCTTCCTTCTTCTTCTTTCTTCTTCCTTCTTCTTCCTTCTTCTTTCTTCTTTTCTTCTTCCTTCTTCTTTCTTCTTCCTTCTTCTTTTTTCTTCCTTCTTTCTTCTTCCTTCTTCCTCCTTTTTTCTTCCTTCTTTTTTCTACTTCTTTATTCTTTCTTCTTTCCTTCTTCTTCCTTCCTTCTTCTTTCTTCCTTCTTCTTTCTTTTTCTTCTTGCCAAACAGATCCAGGATTTGAACTGCAGTCAGCCTTGTGGGAGTCCAGCATCCTAACCCTATGTCATCTGTTGGGCCCCTGTTTCTTCCTTTTCTATAGGTTTTTTTTTTTTTAAAGAATTATTTGGTTATTATTGTTATTATAACTTTTCAAATGTGTTTTCCCAGAGAAAGACAGAGAGAGGGGGAGAGAGAGGCAGAGAGAATGAGACAGCAAGCCGCCAGGTCCAGGACTTGAACCATGGTTGACTGTGTGGGCATTCTAGCACCTTAACCACCATGCCACCTGCTGGCCCTTTTATAGGATTTTTTGTTTTATTTTGAGAGAAAGATTTTTGCTGTAGGGTGCTTGCAATTGCCAGACAAAGGCAGAGAGCCAGAAAGTGAGAAGTCACCCTCCAGAGGGGATGGCCATGCTGTAATTGTAATCCCTTCTCCTCTATTTTCCTCTTGGTATCTTGGGCATGCTCGTACATTCGTCTGGCATGAATTTTAAGCTGCTGAGTCTGGGACTGGAACGCTGGTTGGCCACATGAGAGTCCAGCAACGTTAATCATTACACCATCTGCTGGTCCCATTATAGGAATTAAAAAAAATTTTTTTTTAAGTTTTATTTATTTCTTCATGAGCAAGACCAATAGACAGTACCTGTAACAGGGTCTTGACACTGCAGTCCACATACAGCTTCAGCCAGCTCTAGATCGTGGACTCTTGTGTGCCTAGTCTGAGAGGTCTTTAGACATGAACCTGGAATGTTCCCAAGTGGATTGATCTTGCAGAGTATTGCGTTTTATTGCTGCGATACTATTTGGTCCCTCAAATGTTTATATTGAGTCACCTAATACACATTTCACATCCTTTAAATATATGTTGAGAGGCTGGCAGAAAGCGTGGTGGCTAAGGGTGCTGGACTCCCATGTGGCCGACCATGTTTCGAGTCGCGGAACTGAAGGCCTATTTTCTCATTTTGTGAGTGTCTCTCTCTCGCTCTGTCTCTCTTGGTCAAATTTTAAAAATAAGTAAGTAAATATATAAAGTTAAATAGAATAATTCTTTATATAAAAAACTATGTGTTGACTCTGATGTGTTTAGTTATTAATTATTTTTTTGGAGAGGTTTTTGCTAAAGTGTGCATACACTTGCCAGAAAGAGAGACAGGAAGCAAGAAATCACCCCCGGGGAATGGCCACACCGCAGTCCCTTCTCTTCCATTCTCCTTTCGGGATCTTGGGCACGCATGCACATGCACCTGGTGTGAATTTAAGCCACTGGGTCCGGGACTCAAACCGTGGTCGATGATATGGGAGTCCAGCAACATAGCCATTATGCCAACTGCTGGTTTCTAATTAGTTTTTTTTATTTTTGTTCTTGAGAGGTTTTTGCTACAGGGCACGTGCGCTCGCTAGAAAGACAGAGACAGACAGAAAGCGAGAAATCACCCCCCGAGGGGATGGCCACGCCGCAATCCCTTCTCCATTCTCTTCTCAGGATCTTAGGCACGCACGCACATGCACCCAGCGTGAGTTTAAGCCACCGGGTCTGGGACTCGAACCGCGGTTAACTACATGGAAGTCCAGCAACATAGCCATTATGCTAACTGCTGGTCCCTAAATAGTTTTTTTTTTTTTTTTAAGAGAGATTTTTGTTATAGGGTGCGTGTGCTCGCCAGAGAGATAGAAAGTGAGGAATCACCCGCTACAGTGAATGGCTACATCACAGTCCTTTCTCCACTCTCTTCTTTGGATTTTGGGCATGCATGCATGCATGCATACACATGCATTCTGCAAGTGTTTGAAGCCACCAGGTCTGGAACTTGAACTGCAGTTGACTTTGTGAGAGTCCAGTCATGTAACCCATTATCCTATCTGCTGGTCTCATGTTTAGTTTTTTTTTTTTTTTTTTTTTTAAGCTTTTTCTTGTGTCTCTCAAACCACTCTTTTTATTTTTATAAGGATGTTTTTGTGTTTCCTGTAGTAACTGAATTGCAAACAAGTATTTAAAGTTGTAGGAACCAGATAGTAATTCATTCTTCAAACAAAATTTGTAAGCTACTCTTTGGGATGAGATTTAATAGTAGTAAATCATTGATTCATTGATACTACCTATCAGAGACACTGTTCATGTTTTCACCAGGAATGTAATTTTGTTTGGTTTTCATTTAAGATAAGGACAGCATCCTGCACTATATTGACATTCATGGACTTACAATATGTGTCTTTCTAATTAATTGTTATTACGTTAATACTCATTGGTGAAGGAATTTAAGGGATGTAAAAATGCTTTTGACCCCTAAATTCTTCCATGTCTAATATGAGAAATATATTTTTCTCTTCCATTCCCCACATGTATTTATATGTATGTATATGTACACATACAATTAGCATATTTATACACATGTGCACACACACCCACATACATGCATTTCTTTATTTTTTTTGTTTTGTTTTGCTAATGGGCTTTTTTGCTCACTTGGACTAGAGGGAGGAGAAAGTGAGAAAACTACCCTCAGAGGGAATGATTGTATCACAATCCACAATCCCTTCTCCTTATTTTCCTCTTGGGATTTTGGACACATATGTACACATGCCTGGCATGTTTTTCCAGTGGTTTGGTCCAGGACTTGAATTTGCACAGTCAGCCATGTGGAATCCAGCTGCCTTAACCACCATGCCACCTGGCTGGCCCCATGTGGACCAACTGCAGATAGGTGTGGTACTTAAAGTGATATTTGCAGTTCTGTTGTGATATAATCTCTTTCATTGTCCATTCATCTTTTAGTCATTTTTTTGGGTAGGTGTTCTGTATCTCTGGACAAAGATTGTTCTACTTATAGATAAATGGCAGGGTTTTTTTGTTTTGTTTTGTTTATTTATTTATTTTACTATAGAGCATGTGCCCTCACTAGTTAGAGACAGAGAGAAGGGTAGAAGGGGTAAGAAGAAATCACCCTCTTGTGGGGATGGCCATGTTGCAATCCCTTCTCTGCATGATTTTCAAGCCACCAGGTCTCAAACTACTGGGTTCAGAACTTGAACTATTCTAGCCATGTGAGATTCAGGCACCTAAACCTTTACACCACCTGCTGGCCCCAAATGTCAGTATTTTAATTGGTAAGAAGTTTATAGCTTTCAGGTCTTAGAAGAAGCATTATTGCAACTGCTTTTGCACATCTTATTTTCAAAAAGTGGTTTCAGTCTTTTGTGGTAGCAGGATAATGCAAAGCATTCAGTGAGGTGGTTAAACCTTTTACTTAAAGCGGGATTTCACAACCTTAGCACTGTTGATATCTTGGGCTAGATGAGTCCTTGTTATGGCTGAATTGTAGGATGTTTAGCAGCATCCCCAGCCTCTACCAAGTGGCATTCTCTTCCTCAGAGTCATGACAGCTTGATAATTATTCCATTCATTGTTGCATGGCAATGACTACTGGTTGAGACCATAGTAGTCCCACTACTCATTCATTATGTCTTGGTAGCAAACATAGTTCCCAGTTTCTTGTTATTTGTTACAAAATTTTCAAAAAATGTTACAGAGCTTGAAAAAATTGCTACTCAGGAGACTTCTTTGATATATAAATTATATTTTGGGGAGATTTTTGCTATAGGGCGCATGCATTTGCCAGAAAGAGAGAGAGACAGAAAGCAAGAAATCACCCAAGGGGGTGGCCACGCCATAATCCTTTCTTCTCCATTCTTCTTCCGGGATCTTGGGCATACATGCACATTTGCCTGGCATGAGTTTAAGCCACTGGATCCGGGACTTGAACCGTGGTTGACTACATGGGAGCCCAACGACATAACCATTATGCCAACTGCTGGTGCCTATAGGTTACATTTTGTAGATATGATTTTAACTAGGAATTAGAGTCAAAAGGAAAGAAATTTTAAGCAAGTGTGTATTATTATTTGAGAGGACTTCAGAAGGTACCTGGAAAATGGGATTAAAATATGAGTTGATTTTAGTGCAAAAATATTTCAACATCCATGCATAGTTTTTTTTATAACATACACTTCCATGAATTTTTCTTTTCTTTCTTTCTTTTCTTTTTTTAGAGGTTTTTGCCATAAGGTGCATGCACTTGCTCAGAAAAAGACAAAGAGACAGTGAGAGAGCTATGGGAACTCATTCCCACCCCCAGGGGCATGCTATGCTGTAGTCCCTTCTCCATTCTCCTCCTGGGATCTCAGGCATGCACACACGCATGCCCCACATGATTTTCAAGCCACCAGGTCTGGGACTCAAACCATAGTCAACCATGCGGGAGTCCAGCACCTTAACCACCATGCCATGCCACTTACTCGTTCCTTCATGAACTTATTGAAGACCTTTGTATGTTTTGAAATGCCTTTTTGCTTTTTTACCTTACATGAAGACTTCAGAAGCACCCTAGTAGTTATACATGTGTAGTAGAAATGTGCCCAAACAAAAGTAGAACAATGTAGATGTTTTTTTTTTTTCCCCTTCCCCACAGAGATTTTGCTATAGGTCACATGTGCTCACCAGAGAGACAGAAAACGAGAAATCACTCCCCAAAGATTGTGATAGCCACGTCACAATCCCCTTCCTTTATTCTCTTGGGATTTTGGGCATGCACATACATGTGTCTTGTGGGAGTCTCAAGCCACTGGTCCTGGGACTTGAATTGCAGTCTGCCGTTTGGGAGTCTAGTGCCTTAACTACTATACTACCTTGCTGGCCCCTGGATAGTGTTTCAAATAGAAATAGTATTGCTCACAAGCTTACCATCCCATCAAGTCAAACAGTTTAGTAGTGTAGCATCTTTTTTCAATTACTGTGTTTTCATTCAGCTAATTTACCTAATATTTATTGAATACCTGCTGTATGCTAGGCATTGTCTAGATGCTAGGTATACAGCAATGAACAAAAGTTGATACAAATCTCTGCATTCATGGAGCTAAGATTCTAAAAAGCTAAGGAGAGAGAGAGAAGAGAGGTAGATGATAAAATAGATATGGATATGTGAGATTATGATAAGAGCTGAAGAGGATATTATGTAAAATTCGTCAGTGTTATAATTATCATAATGATCCTTTTTTTTTTTTTTTTTAGACAGAGAGATTTTTGCTGTAGGGTGTGTGTGCTTGCCAGAGAGACAGAGTGAGAATTCACCCCCTGGAGGGATGACCATACTGCAATCTCTTCTCCTCTGTTCCCCTCTTGGGATTTTGAGTATGCTCTCATATGTGCCCAGTGTGAATTTAAACCCCTGGGTCCGGGACTTGAACTGTGGTTGACTACGTGGTAGTTTAGCGACATAACCATTAAGCCATCTGCTGGTCCCCATAATGATAATTTTAATTGCTTGCATTTTTTTAGTGACACAAATTTTTTAAAGTCCTTTCTACTGAATGAGCTTGTTAAAATTTTCTGCTAATTATAGTCATGGAAATTTAAAAAAACAATCAGGGTCTATTTCATCCAAATCTAAAATCAAAGTACTGGCACATTTGAATGGACAATAAGTAATATAAAGTATAGAAGAGTTATTGATTATATTTTTAAAATTTTAAGTAAAGCTCATGTGACTATAGCCTTTCCTGATAAACTTTTTAGACTTATGTTATTTTGTAGAAATAGCCAGTATTATAACCTTAACCCTTTACCAAGATTTTTTTAGTAAATCAAGAATCTCTAGAAACATACAAAATGAAGTATAAATGGGTTGATACTCACTACTACTGAGGCAACAAAGTATTTGAGAGCACTTCTAAGAATTTCCTCTCTTAAATGGGGCCCTCAGTCAGTGAGGTTAACATACGCCGACTTTCTGTTAACCAAAACTCATTGACACAATAGTTTTATCATAAAATTTACCTGAGAAACAGAAATTAACATCAATGTTAAGAGGAGAAAAGCAAATGTGAAATGGAAGACCTGTTGCCTTAGTTATACTGATGTGCCCAAGATAATTGTTCTTTTCAATATATCAGGGGAAGAAGAAAGTCACTCTTTCATTTTCTTTTCCCCATTCATTTAAGTGGAAAAGTATCAAGGATACTACTAGCCCCTCGAATTGTATTTCTCCTTTGTTCCTTAGTAGTTTATGTTGATTGGCATTGGCATTTTGACTTGTAGTTAACATTCATTTGGAAACACAGGTATAGTCATGTAAGAGACAGTTGATGAGGAAGAAAAAAAATACATAATTGAGGCCAATGAGTAATAGGAGAGGAAAACATCCTCTAGCAATTCGGTGGTTGACTTCCTTTTCTCCACCTCCCTCTCTCTAACTCTTCTATATTTAATAAGTGAAATGCAAAGCTCTAAGGCATTTGGCCTCTAGTAGAGGAAGTGAAGAGGTTTTGAATTGTTACAGTAAAAAGGTGATGTGGGTGGAATAATGTGAACCTGGCAAAGTATCTGAGCTTTGCTTTTTACTTCATTAAAAAAAAACCCTGTCATTATGTTTTATAGATTATAATAATGAAGATGAATTTGGAAGAAAGTTGAGGTTCCTCTTGCAACAGCTTCCACCTGTTAATTACAGTTTGTTAAAGTTTCTGTGTAGATTTTTAGCCAATGTGGCATCACATCATGAAGAAATTTGGTCGGCAAATTCTTTGGCTGCTGTCTTTGGTCCAGATGTCTTCCAGTAAGTTATTTTACAAATTTTGTATAATATTTTAAAAAATTGAATTTGTGAAATACAATCATATTGTCTTGTAAGGATCATAGATTGTTTGGTGAATCATTATTTTATTTTTTGGAGAGGTTTTTGCTGTAGGATGTGTGCGCTCGTCAGAAAGACAGAGACAGAGAGATAGAAAGTGAGAAATCACCCCCCAGGGGGGATGGCCATGCCACAACCCCTTCTCCTCCATTCTCCTCTCGGGATCTTGGGCACGCACGCACATGCACCCTGTGTGACTTTAAGCCACCGGGTCGGGAACGCGAATTGCGGTCGACTACATGGGAGTTCAGCGACATAGCCGTTACGCCAACTGCTGGTCCCTAGGTAGACTTTTTTTTTTTTACAGATACGAAAACTGAGAGACAAAATGATGACATAAATTGCTTAGGTTTATACTGACTCATTTGTTGTCTTCTGACTTTATCTGTAATTGATTTAGGAACTCTCAATTCAATTTCAACTTGTATTCTTAGCATTTACACAGATGTGGAAGATATGAAAGAACAGGAAATAGTGAGCAGGATAATGGCTGGACTTCTGGAAAATTACTATGAGTTTTTTGAGAATGAAGAGGAAGATTTTTCATCTAATGATTTGAGTTCAATTACTGAACAGGTGAGACTATTTTAAATATTCTATATGGAGAGAATTTTTAAAGAATTGCTGTCAAGGGCTTTTTAACAACTTATGTGGAATTGTATACTGTACTGGAAGTTATTCTCTTGGTTATTATGATAATCAGGTGACACGTCCATGTTACATATGGGTGTGGTTTTTTTTTCTCCTTAAGAATTACTTAGGGGTCCAGCAGGTAGTGTGGTGGTTAAGGTTCTGGACACTCCCACATGGCTTACCTCAGTTCAAGTCCCAGACCTGGTGACTTGCTTTCTCACTTTCCCTTTCTCTTTTTCTGTGTTTCTTTCTGGTCAAAATGAATGAATCAATAAAATTAAATAAATAATTCCTTGAAAAAAGAAAATTATTTAATTCTACTTGTTGTTGTTATTATTTTTAATTTGACCAGAGAGAGAGAGAGGGAAAGGGAAAATGAGAAAGCAAGCCGCCGGGTCTGGGACTCAAACCACTGTCAGCCACATGGGAATGCAATGCCTTTAGCCATCACACCACCTGCTGGCCCCGTGTGCTTTTCTTTTTATGCGTATTTTTTTTTTTTTTTAAATAAAAAAGATTTTTACTGTAGGGTGTGTGTCTGGAGAGGTAGTGAGAGGGAAAGTGTGAATCATCCCCTGGGGGGATGGTCACGCCACAATTCCAAGTGTATTTATTTCTTCCATGAGTAAGAGAGAGGGAGCAGAAGAGAGAGCACTCCCAATAGGGTCCTGATACCATGATCTAACCGCATAGTCTGTCCTGGATCACAGGCATATATGTGCCTGGTGTACTCAGGGAGGTCTCTGGGTATGAATGTGGAAGTTTTCCATTTGGTCAGCCTGGAGTAATGACACATTTTACCTCTGTGCCACTCTACTTTTTTTATGAGAAAGGAAAAAGGTGTTTTCAGCAGGGTCTTGTCATTCCGTGATCCTCCTGCCTGTTCTAGCCTCTCAGTTAGGATTACAGACATACACTGCCTTGCCTGGGATATTGTAGGTTGGTCTGTGATCCAAACCTGGGCATTCAGTGTGGCCCTAGCATCACACAGCAGCACCCTGAGTCTGCCTCACTACAGCTGGGCTGGGATGTTTTTTTCTTTTTCTTTCTGAACTACTTCCTGTCCTTTGTCTTGGTAATAAAAGAAAAGGTAATGAAATCAGGGTACGTGATAGTTTTTTGGTTTTGTGTAGTTTTTTTTCTTTCAACTTAGACATTTTTTATTTTGTGAGAATAGTATTTTTGTTGTTTTGCAAAGAAACTAGCATAAAGGAATGTAGGCAAAGGATGAGAAATTTAAAGTAGAGGAAAAGATTGAGTATAAACTTTTGTTTTTTGGAGAGGTTTTTGCTATAGGGCATGTGTGCTCGCCAGAGAGAGAGACAGAGAGACAGAAAGCAGGAAATAACCCCCCCCCGGGGGGGGGGAGGGCGTGGCCATGCTGCAATCCCTTTTCCTCCATTCTCCTCTCGGCATCTTGGGCATGCATACACACGTGCGCAGCGTGAGTTTAAGCCACCGAGAGTCCAGGACTTGAACGTGGTCAACTACATGGGAGTCCAGCAACGTAGCCATTACACCAACTGCTGATCCTGAGTATAAACTTTTAAAAGTAAGTTTTTCTTTGGATCAGCAGTTGGTAGTTAAGGCACTGGACTCCCAAATGACCAACCGTGGTTTAAATTTCTTGGCAGTTTGAAAATCACATCAGATATATGTGCATGTATGCCCAAAATTCTAGGAGAAGAATGGAGGAGAGGGGATTGCAAAGTGGCCATTCCCCCATGGGGGTGATTCTTACTTTCTCATGTGCAAGCACATGTTCCCTTATGGCAAAAACCTAAAATAAATAAATAAATAAATAAATAAATAGATTTTTCTTGACTAAGATAGCAACTCAATATAGTAGTTAGTGCATTCATTATCATGAGTGGGAGGCATCTTCCACATGTTTTAAATTGCAGGTAGTTTTTTAGTTCTGGTGACTAGAATATTTTTGAGACTAAATTTTGACCATTTGTTGTTATACATTGGTGATTGAGACTTTACAAGGGAACTGGTTACTTTCCCTTTTAACAAATGGAATATTGATGTTGAATAATTATAATTTATTGTAGAGCCTTGGTAGTTTAAACTCTTCAGGTTTAAGATTCATGATTTAGGTCTGTGTGAAGATTTTTTTCCTGCACTTACATGGTTTGCCACCAAACTTTTTTAGGTTAAAACCAAGATCACAGTTGTACCCGTGGGAGTGGCTGGAGTGTTCAGGTCAATCCAGGATCTGAACCCCATGCCTGTCCATATGACTCCTGTATCATAGAGTAGTCCCTTACTACCTGCGCCACTGCAGCTGGGCTGGGCTTTTAAATTTTATTATCATTTTACATTTTGCTATAGGGCATTTGCCCTCATTACAAAGAGAGAGAGAGAAAGTGAGAAAGGAAGCCACCACATTCAGGACTTGAACTGTTTTTAGCCATGGGAGAGTCCTGCACCTTAACCACCATGCCACCTACTGGCCCCTGTGCCAGTTTTTAATGCATAGGTAAGTAAATAGTCTCTCATTTCTTAAAAAAGGAAAGTAGCAACTCATACATAAACAGGGTTTTTAGAAAGTTCATGGAGAATGCATATTATGAAAAGAACTATGCATGGATTTCTACATTTTTTTGCACCAAAATTCATATTTCTCTTTTCCATGAGCTTCTTAAAGTCTTCTCATAATGTTTGGCATTTTGTTTTGTATCAGATAACATGGTGTATTGGAGAGCTTTTTTATTTTGGAGAGATTTTTGCTATAGGGTGCATGCGCTCACCAGAGAGAGACAGAAAGCGAGAAATCACCCCCCAGGGGGGATGGTCACGCCGCAATCCCTTCTCCTCCATTCTCCTCTTGGGATCTTGGGCACACGCACACAAGCACCTGGAGTGAGTTTTAAGCCACTGGGTCCGGGACGCGAACTGTGGTCGACTACGTAGGAGTCCAGCGACATAGCCATTACGCTAACTGCTGGTCCCCTGAGCTTTTCTTATTAGAATGTAGGTAGCATGGGGCTGGCATGGCATGGTGGTTAAGGTGCTCAACTCCCACATAGCTGACTGGTTCGAGTCCTGGACCGGGCATCTTGCTCTCTCACTGTCTCGTCTCATCTCTCTCTCTCTGCCTCTCTCTCTATCTCTCTCTCTCTCTGGTCATATTGAAGAAGAAGAAATAAAAACAAATAATTCTTTAAAAATAAAAGAATATAGATAGCATTTTCTTTTTACAGCTACATAGTTCCTTATTGTATGTATAGACCTGGTGGCTTGCTTTCTTGCTTTCCCTCTCTCTCTCTCTGGTCATATTGAAGAAGAAGAAATAAAAACTAATTCTTTAAAAATAAAAGAATATAGGTAGCATGTTCTTTTTACAGCTACATAGTTCCTTATTGTATGTATAGAACAGTATAATTTATTTGATTTACAGTACCAGCTTCCACTTAAAAAGGTACATTCTGGTTTTCTCAGAGCAGTCTTAGTTTATGTCTGCTTCTTGAATTATATTTAGTAGCTTCTCTTATCACTATCAGATGTATTCAGGTTTGGATGATAATTTATATGGTTACAATATTTTTTAACTTTTTCTCCCCAAAGACTTATTTATTTAATTTTATTTATTATTATTATTTTAATTTGACAAGAGAGAGAAAAAGAGAAAGCTGCCAAATCTTGGACTTGAATTGTGATCAGCCATGTGCGAGTCCAGTGCCTTAACCTCTATGCCACCTGCCAGCCCTGGTCGCAGTATTTTTTATTTTTTAAGAGAGATTTTTGCTATAGGGCGTGTGTGCTTGCTGGAGAGACCGACAGAAAGTGAGAAATCACCTCCCCTCACGTCCCTCCCCCTGCAGCGGGGATGGCCATGCCACAATCCCTTCTCCTCCATTCATCTCTCAGAAGTTCCAGCATGCACGCGTGGCCCTGCTTGTCTTAAGCAGTTGGGTCCGGGACTTGAACCATGGTCGACTGCATGGGAGTCCAGTGATATAACCATTATGCCACCTGTTGGTCTGTCACAGTATTTTTCGATGGGTGTTTGGGTTGCTTCCATTTATTTGCTGTGAGGTTATAATAAAGCAACATCTCTCTCTTTCTTTTCTTTTTTTTTTTTTTTTTTAAGAGATTTTTGCTATAAGGTGTGTGTTCTCACCAGAGACCGAGAGAGACAGTGAGAAATCACCCTTCAGGGCGGATGGCCATGCTGTAATCCCTTCTCTTTCGTTCTTATCCTGGGATTTTGGGCATGCTTGCACACACATCCAGCAAGAGTTTCTAGCCACTGGGTCCAGGACTTGAACTGTAGTCAGCCACATATGCGAGCCAGTGATGTCACTGCTGTGCCATCTGCTGGTCCTGCCCTACTTTTATGTAAAATAATTTTTATACTTTTGAAAACTTTGATAGGTAATACTTTTTGAAATTGAGGTTTGGACCTCCTTCAGTTTTTTGTGTTTTCTCATGTAAGCTTTTTTTTTTTTTTTTGAGAGATTTTTGGTATAGTGCATGTGCACTCGCTGAAGAGGAGAGACAGAAAGCAAGAAATCACCCCTCAGGGGATATGGCCACACCGCATTCCTTTCTCTTTCATTCTCCTCTAGGGATTTTGGGCGTGCACACACACGTGCTTGGTGTGAGTTTGAAGCCACGGGGCTCAACTCGAGACTTGAACCGCAATCTACTACATAGGAGTCCATTGACATAAGCATTATGAGATCTGCTGGTCCTCATGTAGACATTTTTATTTTTCATCTTTTCTCTGTCCTTCTTTCTCTTCCTTCTTCCCTCCTTTCCTCTTTGTTTCCCTCTTCATTTTCAAGTATCGAGAACTTCAAAGAAGCAGTGGTATATATTACCACATTATAGCTTGTAATGTGTAAACCAAGAATAAAATCAGTGTGTGTTTGTATGTATATACACAAATATATATGAAATCAAGTGGGTGGAATTTACAGCCTGAATTAGTGATACATGGAACTTTGGGCACATTTTTCAAAGTATTTATCATATACAGTACCATACTTGAAAACTTGGTAAAATAAAGAACCAATTCATCTCTTCATAATCATTCTTGCTTGAAAGAAAAATGGCAAGAAGAGGTCAAGTAGATATACTTAAACTCTTAATATCGTTTAATCTCGATCAGAAATCTTCCCTGTTGGGGAATTCTACACACCATCTTTCCTTTCTTTATGTTTTAGTTTAGTAATTTATTATTTTTTTTAAAAAAACTAATGGCTGCTCAAAATGAAATAGTACATGTATGTTGTTACTTTTTTATATTTCTTTCTGAAATTTTTATTTATTGTCATTATTTTTTTGAAGTTGACCAGAGAGAGAGAAGTAAAGTGAGAAAGCAAGCCACCAGGTCCAAGACTTGAACTGTGGTCAACCACATGGGATTCTAGCTGCCTTAATCACCACACCACTCACTGGCCCCAATTTTTTATATTTCTTTTTTTTTAATTAAAAAAAATTTTTTTTGAGAGGTTTTTGCTATAGGGTGCATGCGCTCGCCAGACAGACAGAGACAGAGAGATAGAAAGCGAGAAATCATCCCCCAGGGGGGATGGCCACGTTGTAATCCCTTCTCCTCCATTCTCTTCTCAGGATCTTGGGCACGCACGCACACGCGCCCAACGTGAGTTTTAAACTACTGAGTCTAGGACGTGAACCACGGTCGACTACATGGGAGTCCAGCGACATAGCCATTACGCTAACTGCTGGTCCCCCCAATTTTTTATATTTCTAAGATGATTTAACTTGTATGAAACTGATGTTGCCAGTTTAACCTACTGTTTATATCTGGACTCCTCCAAAGTCTGCAGACTGTGCTTTGATTATGCTATATCTTGTGCTATAATTCTCTAGTATTTCTGTTACTCTATGGTTTCTTTATGCTTGCTGAAATTTATCTATATTTCATATATATTACGTGAGTATTTTCGTATTTTTGTTTGATTTGATCGCAGGTACATGTGTTTGCCAGAGACTCAGAGAGAGAAAGTGAGAAAACATCCTCCAGGAGGGATGGCCATATTATAATCCCTTCTCTTCCGTTCTCCTCTAGGGATTTTTGGGCACACACATATGCACCTGGCATGATTTTCAAGCTGCCCGGTCTGGGACTTGAACCGTGGTTGACCATGTGTGAGTCCAGCACCTTAACTGCCATGTCACTTGCTAGTCATTTTTGTTGTTGATTTTTTGTTTAAGAGTGATTTTTGCTATAGGGCGTGTGCACTCACCAGAAAGACAGAGGGAAATAGAAAGTGAGAAATCATCCCCCTTAGGGAGATGGCCATGCTGCAGTCCTTTCTCCTCCATTCTTCTCCAGGTATTATGGGCATGTATGCACACACACCTGGTATGAGTGTTTAGCTGCTGGGTCTGGGACTCAAACCACTGTTGACTGTGAGATTCCAGTGATGTAACCATTATGCCATCTGCTCGTTCCCCTTTTTGTATTTTTTTAAGCACTAGAAAAACTCATTCAAGATATGTTGTGCTTTATAGTAAACAGGTAGTTAAGCAATACTGTCAGGTCATGTTGAGCTGTTCAGTTTTGCTTGTGGATAGAGAAGAGGATACTAACATATTGAACAGAACATGCTCAGTAAATGGGGTCTTGAGAGACAGTGACATATTTAATTATCCAGACCCAGGTTGCTAATTACCAGACTTTATCTATTTTTGTTATATTTCTGAATTATAATTAAGCTACAAGTAATAAAAATATGGATTTATGAAGTTTGTTTTTTTCCAAAGCAGATTTGATAACTTCAGCTTGATTTGTGAGGCAGAGTGGATAAGGTATTTGAAAGTAAAATATTCTCAAACTCTGCACGGTTTACTCGTATTTTTAAGTTGGCCAAATTTAAATGCTGGTAATTTCTTATCCATATTCTTAAAGAGGTGGGCCAAGATTTATCTTGGCAATGATTGATTTTTTTTTCATTATTTTAATACTTGAAGGAAATAAAAGTTTATTCAGCACTTTATTGTTTTGGATTCATCCCATTAAATGCATGTATGTGGCTATTAGAATCTTCTCAAGATAGTAGCTATTTTATTAGTAGTATGAGAGAGATGGCTGGAGATGATAAATAAGGGAGTATTTGAGAAGTGACCCAGAGTCACATGGGCTTTCTATGGAATCCTTAAATGAATGAGAATCCAGTGGAGTGGTTTGAAGATAGAAGTGGTAATTATGTTTCTTTATACGTTTGAGAAGGCAGGTAGCAGCGTTCTCCACAAGCTGGAGTCTGGAGAGCAGGCATTTCACGAGGCCCTAGAGAAGGGAATTACAGCTGTCAAAGGAGGAAGAGATGTAAGTATGGATGAGAGTTTTCAGTAGAGTTCAGGCAGCTGCACACAGGGCAAGTTCAGAAGAACTTATGGAAAGATTGGAATATTGATAAGCAGATGGGCAAATTGACAAGACAAGCATCAAGAAGAACTTTAATGTATGATTAGTATGGGGTCAGAGAACTTTTTTATTTTTTAATTTGCCAGAGGGCGCATGTGTTTACTAGAGTGAGTAAGAAGGAAGAAGACCCTCCCAGTGGAGTATAGTCACACTGCAGTTCCTACTCCTCTCTCTCTCCATCTTGCCTGGATTTTGGGCACTCATGCACATGTGCATGGTGTGTGTTTCAAGCCAGTGGGGCTGGGATTTGAACTGTGGGATCTGGCTCTTAACCAGCCATGGAGCCAGACCAGAGAGCATTGTAATATGTCTATAATGCTTACCTTTGTTCAAAATAATCCAGTCCTTTCTTACTGTTAATATAAGAAGTCGCATTGGAAGGCCTGTGGGGAGAGGTGTGATGGTGGTGAGAAAGAAAACCCATGGGCTATTGTTCATGCCATATTATAGTTCTTGGTTATTGGTGAAAATATTAGCTAATATTAGTTACCTTACATAAAGCTTATTGAATTAAAAAATAAATATTTATTTAATTTTATTTATTCATTCATTTATTTTAATTTGACCAGAGAGAATGAGGAAGAGAAAGTGAAAAAGCAAGCTGCCAGATCCAGGACTCGAACCATGGTCGGCCATGCGGGAGTCCAGCGCCTCAACCACCATGCCACCTGTCAGCCTCAAAGCTTATTGAATTTAACATAATATATTCAGTATAATTGAGTATAATATAGTTTCATAGTTTCTAAGATTTATTGACTGTAAACACAAAATGATTTTTTTTTTTCCCTAAAGAGAGATTTCTGCTAGAGAGCCTGTGTGCTTGCTGGGGAGACAGAGACAAATATATAAAGTAAGAAATCTCCCTCCAGGGGGCTGGCCATGCCATAATTCCTCCTCTTCCACTCTTATCTCATTTTCATGCACGCTCACAGGTTTGGTATGAGTTTGAAGCCACTGGGTCCAGAACTTGAACCATACTTGACCATGTGGGAGGCCAGTGATATAATTGCTGGTCTTGACACAAAATGATTTTAAAGAATGTGATATATATATGGGCCCAGCAGGTGGCGTGGTGGTTAAGGGCACTGGACTCTCACATGGCGGTTTAAGTCCTGGACCTAGCAGCTTGATTTCTCACTTTCTCTCTGTCTCTCATTCTGTCCCTCTCTGATCAAATTAGGATAAATAGATAGATAGATAAAGTTGAATAAAATCTATAAAAATAAAAAAATTATATATATTAAAATAGTGCTATATGCAAAATGTGCGGATTCAATAAGTATTCGTCTAGTCTCAGTTTAAAAAGCCATTTTTAAGGATGGGGGAAAAAAAGCAAAACTTACAGAAAACAAGAAATGGAAAATTATTTGCTGACAATAACATGTTTGTTGATGTGCTTGATTGAGACAATATACAGTGTACTCTGGATGGAAAATCTCATTTTGTATACTGTAATGATGTACAGTGAATGAATGCAAATAAATAAAATGAAATAAAAAAAAGAAAAACTATAATGCATTTTTGCATAGAAAAATATGTCATCGTTTTTCTGACAACCCCATAGAAATAAAATAGATTTTTATATGTTAAAAAAAGCCATTTTTAATATGTTTTTATATTCTGTTATAACCACAGTTGTATTAATCAGCCACAATAAATCCCATTTTATACTTCCGAAAACAGCTTTTTTTGGGGCCAATATTTTTCTTGCTTAGGTTACCAGGTAGACAATAAGTACGTTCTCTTGACTTTAACCAATTATTAAACATATAGATGGGAGAAGAGGATACTTTTCCTTTTATTCCACTTTATGTTTTTAAAAAATAATTATTAATTTAATTTAATTTATTTTTTATTTAACCAGGAAGAGACAGGAGAGAGAAAGAGAAAGTGAGAAAGTAAGCTGCCAGGTGTGGTACTTGAACTGCAGTTGGTCATGAGGAGGTCCAGTGCCTTAACCACCACGGCACCTGCTGGCCTTCCCATTTGCTTCACTTTAAAAACTGATCTATCATTTGAGGTTTCGTCTTTGTGTATAAATCTTACCTCTCAACAACCACTAACATCAATGATTTTTAGTCTTTTATCACCATTATACATCACGTAGGATACATGAAGGATGTGTTTTTGTGCATTTATAAGCACAAAAATTAATATGAATCTGTTACGTGTACATTATGTTTGAAGTAAAAGTTAACAAATTGAGGTCATTAACTATTGTTAATGCATTTTTAGTGACCCATCTGACTAGTGACTGTGTTGTGCAGTGGTTGATAGCTCCTGCTTTAGGTAGTTTGAATGATACTCTTTTGTTTATTACAAATAATGATGCTACATGTAAAAACTGGGATCTATGCTTTTTAGAAATTAAGGCAGCATTTCTAGTTATAATGATAGCTATTGTTGTTAGTTATATATAGACACATTTACATATATTTAATACTTTCAACTAGTTCTGTGAAGTAGATAGTACAGTATATTTTTATACATGAAGTTTGGAGAAGTTAAGTTAGTTAAGTAGGTTGCCAGAGATAGTTAGGGGCAAGATACTCAGAAATTTGTGAATATATATCTTTCTGCTTCTAAATCCTGGCCCGTATAAATTTAAAAATAGGCAATCCGTACTTATTTAGGAATGTGGTATAATATCATAGTATAATTACTTTTCTTTTGGTTGCAGTTTTACTTTATTCTTCTTTAAACTTTTAAAAATATTTTTGCCGTATGTGTGTGCACTCACCAGAGAGAGAGGGAGGGAAAGTGAGAAATCACCCTCTAGTGGGGATGGCCGAGTCACAGCCCCTTCTCTGCCTGGAATTTTGAGCACACATGCACACATGGCCAGCATAATTTTTAAGCTGCCAGGTCTGGGACTTGAATCCTGGTCAGCCACGTGGGAGGCTAGCACCTAAACCACTGTTCCACTTGCTGGCCCTGCAGTTTTATTCTCTGACAGTATTCTCACAATTATATTTGTGTCTGTCAGAAAAAATACAACTAGTAAACAAATCTGTTTTCCTTATAGCATTTGGCTAGTATGAATAAGAAGTCTACTTTTTTTTTTTTTTTTTTTTTTAGGTTTTTGCCATAGGGCACATACACTTGCCAAGGGGAGACAGAAAGAGAAAAAGTGAGAAATCACCCCCCAGGAGGGGCTGGCCATACCAAAATCCCTTTTTCATTCTCCTCTCCAGATTTTGGGCGTGCATATACATACCGTTGGTGTGATTTTTCAAACCTCCAGGTCCAGGACTTGAACCCACGGTTGGTCATATAGGAGTACAGTGCCCCACTCACCATGCCACCTCCTTGCCCCAAGAAGTATACTTTACTACTCAGTGTTTGATTTTAGATTTTTGCCATGTGGCGCATGTTAGAGAGAAACAGAGGAAGTGAGAAGTCACCTCTCTGTGGGAACAGCCACACCACAGTCCCTTCTCAAGTCTCTTCTTGGGATTTTGGGCATGCATGTACTTGTGCTTGTTGTATTTCAAGCTATTGGGTCTAAGACTCAAACGTGGAGTCAGCCATGTAGAATCCAGCACTTTAACCATCATGCCACCCGTTGGCCTACTGCTCATTGTTTTTAATGACTAATGTTAATTTATAAAATAAGACAATAGGTAATTTCTTTTTTTGAATAACCTCAAAGTATTTCTCATTTGAAATATTTAGTTGATTTTCCTTCTTTATTTCAGAGTCTTTATTAGAATAATTATTTATGTTGCCAATTTGATAGTGGATCAGAAAGATAATAATCTTGAGTTGGGGACCAGCAGTTGGTGTAATGGCTATGTCACTCTGGACTCCCATGTAGTCGACTGCGGTTCTAGTCCTGGACCCGGTGGCTTAAACTCAAGCCGGGTGTGTGTGCGCGTGTGTGCCCAAGATCCCAAGAGGAGAACGGAGGAGAAGGGATTGTGGCTCATACCCTGGAGGGGACGAGCGAGAGCTTTCTGTCTGTCTCTGTCTGGCAAGTGCATGCACCCTGTAGAAAAAACCTCTTCAAAAAAAAAATTATCTTGAGATCTTGAGTTGTGCTTACTGGTTAAGTCATGAGGGTGTCTTTTTTTTTTTTTTTTTTTTGGGAGAGATTTTCACTGTAGGGCGCGTGCGCTCGCCAGACAGACAGAGACAGACATAGAGACAGAAAGCAAGAAATCACCCCCCAAGGGGGATGGTCACGCCGCAATCTCTTCTCCTCCATTCTCCTCTTGGGATCTTGGGCACGCACGCACACGCGCCTGGCGTGAGTTTTAAGCCACCAGGTCCGGGACACGAACCGCGGTCGACTACATGGGAGTCCAGCGACATAGCCATTACGCTAACTGCTGGTTCCCGAGTTTGTTTATTTTTTTTGAGAGAGAGAGAAAGATGAGTACCTCCAACAAAGTTCTCATACCATGATCCACCTCTAGCCTCAGTCAGCCTAGATCATGGGCACATGCATACATATTTGTTATAAACAGTGAGGCTTCGGGACATAAACCCTCAACTTTAACATGTGGGCCAGTTATCACAGGGTTTTGTGTTACCACTGTGCCACCTGCTGGCCCAAAACTTTCCTCCCTTTTTAAAATTTTGTCTCTTAATGAAAAATTGAATCTGAATCACTTAGAAGTTAGCTGACATTTTCTAAAACGTTCACACCTTAAGGAAAAGTGTTTCATCCTATTTTCACACTCACTCACTATTAAAATTACTTGTTTAATGCAGCAGAAAATCAGAGAGATCAATTATAATTAAGTCTTTTATAATGATTAGGCTTACAAAACTGGTTAGAAAATGGTTCTTTTATTAACGTTAACTAGTATGCAGACTTTTTTGCAGTTCACAGTCTTAATTATATTCCTAGTGATTCCTAATGCATTCATTATATTACCTTCTGTTTCAAAATGTTGTTTGTCTGGTTTGCAATTTTATTTTGGTATTAAGAAGTTGGCAGTTACTTCATAAGAGACTTTGATTCTAGGAAATGAAATAAAAATAAATCGTGTTAAAAGTTTTTAGGATACTATGTCTTGGATATGTCAGTTAATAGTTTCATTAAATTTTAATTCTAAGATTCCTTTCATTTATATAGGTTAATGAACTTTCTGAAGAAGAGGAAGATGAAAAGCTGGAGCATATAGAAGAACTTCCAGAAGAAGGTGCAGAGAAATCAGATGACATGCCAGAGGTGGTACAATTAAGGATGACTGAGAACATCCTGGAATCAAATAGTGTTACAGCTTCAACGAGGTAATACTTGAGTTGGAAAAACTTTTGCTTTTGAGCATCTTGTTCTAGATGTGTACTCACTCAATTGTTAAACAATACATATTGTAAGTATATGTGAAAATTGATATTTTTGTGTGAAAAAGAGCAAGAAGGATTCTTTTTTGTTTTTGGGTCATAGGCATGTGTTCTTGGTGGATCCAGGACTTGAACTGTAGTTGGCCATGTAGGATTCTAGCGCCTTCACCACCACACCACCTGGTAGTCCCAAAACCACAGTTTTTTAAATATTAGTTTTGATATGGTTCTGGCATGACTTACCTGGAAGTCACATGCAGTTTTAGATTTAAAATATTAACCATTAATGGTTTTCTACAATTGGATAATACATCAGTAGTAGTCCTCTACCTTTTTTGCATCTATTTTAAGATTTTTATGTTTGTAATAATTTGTACCCCTAGGTATAGTAGTACGACTAATGAAAACAGATTAACTTCTCTGCTTATATTGAATTAGGCTTAAATATTTCTGGAGGAGTTCTAGACAGATGCAAGATTTTGTCCTCCTTTCCCCACCTTCTAAAAAGTAGCCAAATATTGAGGATGAAATCTGTGGACTGTTGATTGGTTACCTCTTTGTCAGTAGTGACCTCATGTTGCAGTCTGTTTCTGTTTAGACTGCAGAGTATAACACGGCTCCGTTTAGAAGGACTCAGCACTGCTAATTGCTCAGCAGTTTTTATAATTCCTTCATCTTTCAATATTTGAAGTGAAATTTCTTTACCTGGTGTTTTTGTTGGGAGATACCAGGGAATTCAGAATGGCTTGCGAGACACTGTGGTACAGGTAAAGTGATCCTTGTTAGAGTTAATTGAGGCTGAGCCACAGTGCTTTTATTGAAATGTTTGTAGCATTTGCAGTTGGGATATTAAAATAATAGTAGTTACCACTTATTATAGTATTTGAATTACAAAAACTAATCCAAATAATGGTTATAAGATTGATTTATGTTCTTAAGAAGATTATGTAATTGTAGGCCGATTTAAAAATAGAGTTAACAGCAGAAGGGAGAAAAGGTCAGGGAATGACTACAATCTTTAATTTTATATTTGACTGATGACTTAACATAATGGCAATCTCTTGAGATTTTATTGTCTTGATCTTTTTTGTCTGGGGGTTAGTGAACAAAATTAGCATTGTTAGGTAGTTCTGTGGTTTTGAGTGTCTCCTCTAAAATTAATGTATTGAGGTTTGGTTGTGATGGAAATAAGAGGGTAAAAATTTACTCAGACTGTGATGTTGAAAGGTGGGCCCTTGGAGAGTGATTAGGATTAAGAGCATTAGAGCAGGAGCTCTCCTGATAGAGTTGTGGTAAGGAGAAGGAACAAGACTAGAATAGAGAGACTGAAGGGACACAATTGCTTTGCTCTGCACTGGCTCTTCTCTTATTAAAGTAAAAACGTTTTTTAGATACCTGAACATGATATATATTGACCGAGTCTGTCTCTCCTTGTCCTCCTTAAAGACTTATTTTACACACACACAATTTTATATATATATGTGTGTGTGTGTATGTATACACATTATATACATATATACATATGTATATATATATATTTATCTTATTGGCTAACTTCATAATCACAAAAACTCTGTGTGTGTGTGCATGTCTGTACAGATACACACACATACATTTTGTGGCAGAGTGATTCAGGACTGAATGATCGCCACCAGCGGTAGCCTTTGGACATTAGACTTGAAACCATAAGCTTAGAATAATATGAAATATACCTCTTTTTTTTTTTTTTTTTTTAAATAAGTCACCCAGTTTCAGGTATTTTCTGTTCTTAGCAGCAAAATAGACTACAACTATGGTACTTACGGCATTTGCCTATAGTACCTAAGTAATTTGACATGAATTACTTTACTAGTATCTTTATTAATCAGAACTAATCGTTATGGTATCTGTGTTATTGAGCTGCAGGCACATAGCTATATAGGTAAATCTTTTTTAATAGGTGTATTAAGTCCTGGTTTATGCATGAGGGCTTTTTACCCTAGAATTTGGCTAAAACCTGAAGATACAGCACAATTAAATTCTGTCAAATCTGAAAACCAAAACTCAGTCCTTTCTCTACCAGAAATTCAGAGAATAAAATTGTACTTTAATTTTGTGTGTAGTTTTGTGGGTGACACTTTGCCTCTTAAAGTAAAATCTATCTGATTTGTTTACTGTGGTTTTGGGATATGTGTGTGTGTGTGGCTTTTTAAAAAAATTTTATTTATTTATTCATTTTTTAAAATATGACCAGAGAGAGACACATTGAAAGAGGGAGAGAGAAAGTGAGAAAGTAAGCCACCAGGCCCAGGACTCGAACCATGGTCGGCCATGTGGGAGTGTCCAGTGCCCTGTGTGTGGCTTTTATTTGATTGCCCTAGCATATTCTTCAGGGTTAAAGAATCTTTACTGTTGCACTAATTAATCTAGCTTGGCTGATTTATATATATTCATATTTTCCAATAGCAATTGAAAAGGGGTAGGAAGCTGCAAGATCAATTACCCTGCTTGCCTATCCAGCCAATTATAAGACCATCAGAATTTTTGTCTCATTTTGACTCCTTTGGATAACTGGAAATCTTAATAAACTTTAGTGTTTTTGGAGGCTAAAGATCTATGCCAGTATTTCTCAAATTTACTAGTAGGGATAAAAATTATCATTGGAGCTTGTTAAAAATGTAGATTTGGGGAACCAGCAGTTAGCGTAATGGCTATGTCGCTGGACTCCCACGTAGTCGACCGCGGTTCGCGTCTTGGACCCGGTGGCTTAAATCTCACGCTGGGCGCGTGTGCGTGCATGCCCAAGATCCCAAGAGGAGAATGGAGGAGAAGGGATTGCGGCGTGACCATCCCCCCTGGGGGGTGATTTCTCGCTTTCTGTCTCTATGTCTCTCTCTGTCTGTCTGGCGAGCGCATGTGCCCTATAGCGAAAACCTCTCCAAAAAAAAAAAAAAAAAGTCGATTCTTGGGCCCTATCTGAGAGATTTGGGATGGAACCTGAAATTGGCCTTTTGTGTTTTGTTTTTTTTTGTCAGAGGGTATGTATACTCACTAGATAGAGAAAGAAGAGAGAGGGAGAAAGCACTGCACAGTGGAGTAGGGTCACGTTGCAGTCCCTTCTCCATTTCTTCATCCTGTTGGAATTTTGGGCTCACATGTGCCCAGTGTGTTTTTTAAGCCACTGGGACTGGGACTTGAAAAGCATGGTAGGCTCTGTGGGTTCTGGCTTATTTTACTACTAGCACTTGGGGCTAGCCATTTTTTCTTTTCTTTTCTTTTCTTTTCATTTGGGAAATAAAACATATATACAGAAATGGGTGTAAAAGAAATGTTTAGCAAAATAAGTTAGTAAAAGGCAAATATCCTGGTAACCACCACTCACATCTAGAAATAAATACTTACAGCACCCTAGTAGCTACGAAAAATCCTGATATTTTCCTTCCCACTAAGGTGAACGCTATGCTGACTTTCTGACAATTACTTCTTTGTACTTTTGGGGAATTTGTGAAAATGAAATCAGTATTCTTTTTTTTATTATTATTCTTTAAATATTGTGAGGGACCAGCAGCCTCTCAATGTCTCTCCCTCTCTCTCTCTCTCTGCTGAATGCACATGTCCTATGGCAAAAACCTTACAAATGAAAAATCACGTATGTTTGTGAACAATTAACTGTGCGGTTCACTTGAATCCAATACAGCTCATTTTTCTTACAGTCTTGGAATAGGTTGTTATTTTTCTGAGTACCCGATGCAGTAGTTGTCCCTTCTCCCCCCAAAATAGTTAAGGGTCTTTTTGTGCAAAAAATAGTTTCTGTTTTTAAGAAAAATAGTTGATTTTCTTTTTGAAAATTAAAATCATACTCTGCTAGACAAGTGTGTATTTCTGTTGTTTTTAGTTACTTTTTTAGTTTTAGAAGGCAGTAGAGCATCTTTGTCAATGGGGGGGCTTTGGGAGTCCCAGTCTAGGGTTGTGTTTGCATTTGGGCAAGTTAATCAGCATCTGTGAGCTTCAGTTTTGTGGAAAAAAGTCAACATTATTCTAGGATATTGAGAGCTATTAAATGAGATACATGTATGTCAGCTTTCTAGTCCGTAATACGTATTGAATAAATACTTTTCAGATTTTGGTATTGTAATGATATACTATCTATAATTTATTTTCTTTGGTTAATACCTGAAACCTTTATATCAACCACATTCAGAAATTATTTCCTTGGAAAAAAAAAAAGGGAATCAGCAGTTAGCGTAATGGCTATGTCTCTGGATTCCCACATAGTCGACTGCGGTTCACGTCCGGACCCGGTGGCTTAGAACTCATGCTGGGCGCGTGTGCGTGCGTGCCCAAGATCCTAAGAGGAGAATGGAGGAGAAGGAATTGCGGCATGACCATCCCCCCTGGGGGGTGATTTCTCGCTTTCTGTCTCTATGTCTCTTTCTATCTGTTTGGCGAGCGCACGTACCCTATAGTGAAAACCTCTCAAAAAAAAAAAAAAAAAAGAAATTATTTCCTTGGGAATCAGCAGTTAGCGTAATGGCTATGTCGCTGGACTCCCACGTAGTTGACCGCAGTTCGCGTCCTGGACCTGGTGGCTTAAAACTCATGCCAGGTGCGTGTGCGTGCGTGCCCAAGATCCCAAGAGGAGAATGGAGGAGAAGGGATTGTGGCGTGACCATCCCCCCTGGGGGGTGATTTCTCGCTTTCTGTCTCTTTCTCTCTCTGTCTGTCTGGTGAGTACACGCGCCCTATAGCGAAAACCTCCAAAAAAAAAAAAAAAAGAAGAAATTATTTCCAATCTGATATGAAACTAAAAATAACCAGGGTCTTCAAAAAGTTTGTGGAAATGTATAATTAAAGTACAACTTTATTTTGATACAAGAAAATTAGTAATCTGGGCCAGCCTGTGGCTTAAGGCAGCTGGATCCTATGTGGCTATCTTTGCAATCTGAATTCTCAACCCAGTGGCTTAAGAAACATGCCCAGGACAGTGTGCATGTGTGCCAAAAATCTCAAAAGGAGGGAGAGTTGAAGAAGAGATTGCAGCGTGACCATTCCTGATGAGGCTACTTCTCCCCTTCTCTGTCTCTCTCTGGTGAGTGCATATGCCCTCTGGCAACTTAAAAAAATAAAATTATAGGGACCAGCATTTGGGATGGTAGTTAAGATGTTAGACTCCTCCTTACATGGCTGATCTGAGTTCAAGACCTGGATCCAGCAGTTTGAAACTCACACTGGGCATGTGTGTGTGCATGCCCCAAACCCCGAAAGGGCAGTAGAGGAGAAGGGATTGAGGAGTGGCTATTCCCCTGGTGGGTGATTTCTCACTTTCCCTCTCTTGTCTCTGGCGAACACACGCACCCTATAGCAAAAACTTAAAAAATCAATCTATCCATTCCTGCAGTTCTTTTTTTTTAATAATACAGATTTCCATAAACTTTTCAAAGAGCCCGTGAGTGAAAATTGATGACATTCTTCAGGTTATGTCAAAATAATGCAAATGTGACAGCGTTCAGAACATTTTGTAGTCATTTAATGTTGAACAATTTTATAGCTAATTTTTTTCTTTGATTACAGTGCTCATATATCTCCCATCAGCATTTTACCAGCCTCTGCAGAGTAAGTACTATACTTAAAGAAGGCATATTTTTAAGATTTAAAAAAATTGCTAAGCTATAGAAATGAAAATAATTTACTTTACTTACATTAGAGGAAAGATTGTAAATAGGCAGTGAACTAGTTAGCATTTTATGTACTGTACTATAAGTAAAGAAAGAAGAAACTAAAGGTCAACTTTCTTCAATAGCTTTGCTCCTTTGAAATACTTAAAAAATCTTGACAGAGCTTTTGTAAGTTGTTTTATTTAGCTAAGTAAATTATTTTGTTTTATAAACATCTTTGAAAAGCTTATCTATCTAAATGGTTTTCTGTACAGTAAGAAAGGAATTGCGTAGACAGTTTATCCTTCCCACCCAGTAATAACGGTGACATTATGGTTGGTTTGTATTAGAATCATCCAGGTAAATTACATTTTCAAATTTTAATCAGTATCATGAATTCCTTTTCTTTATTTCTCCTTATAACTTGATTTACCCAAGTAAATCTATAATAATTTGTTTTACTGGTCATAGGTTTTAATATCTATGTTTATGTGGCCAAATAATCCGGTTAGGTGACTGCCTCTCACTAAAATATATTATCTTTTTGTAGCATTTTAGAAAGAACAATTAGAGCAGCTGTGGAACAGCACCTTTTTGATCTGCAGAGCAGCATAGATCATGATTTTAAAAATTTACAACAACAGAGTCTGGTGTGCAGTAGTGAAGCAGGAAGTGTTAATTGTGATGAAGAAGGATCGAATAACCAGTAAGAAACATTTTACTGTTATTTATTTAGAATTATAAAATCATCTTATTTTAAAAGACTATTTTTACTTAGTAATGGGATTCTTATCTGACTTACGGATTTCTGAAGGTGAGTGTGAAAAGTGACTATATATTTGCGTAATATATTTAATTACATTGAAAATCTCATAAATCCTTACTAGATGAAGTGATGACCTTACCTTTAGGGGCTATCTTATATGAACAATAGCTTTAAATGCTTGATCTTAGGTCAGCCCATGGTTTGGTGTTGAAGGCAGCAGGATCCCACATAGCCAACAGTACAGCTCAAGTTCCAGACCATGCCGGGTATATACATGCCCAAAATGCCAAGAGGAGGCGAACCGGTTGTGGCATGGACATTCCCCATGAGAAGTGCTTTTTCACTTTCTTTCTCTTTCTCTGTTTCTCTCCAATAAGCACATATGGCTTTTGCAAAAATTTTTTTGTTTGTTTTTGGAGAGGTTTTTGCTATAGGGCGTGTGTGCTTGCCAGAAAGACAGAGACAGAGAGACAGAAAGTGAGAACCCCCCCACCCCCACCCCAGGGGCGATGGCCATGCTGCAATTCCTTCTCTTTCATTCTCCTCTTGGGATCTTGGGCACAGATGCACATGCACCTGGCCTGAGTTTAAGCCACCGGTCCGGGGCTTGAACCGTGGTAGACCTAATGGAAGTCCAGTGACGTTGCCATTATGCCAGCTGCTGGTCTCAGTCCTCTGCAAAATTAAAAAAATTGATTGCATAGGCTGTGTAAGAGATGGTCACACTGTGAGAGGCATGCAGTGATCTAGACAGATAGGTGCAGGGACAGCAGATTGACATCACTTACGTACATGAGGTCATTGAATGTAATGGTAGACAGATTCATCTTTTGCTATTTAATTGCTTTCCTTGCTATCACTAGCTTCTCCTATCTGCATTGTTTCCTGTGCTGTTACTCCACTGTTCACCTTTATGTGGAGGAAATCCGTAGCTCTGTTACCTCAGTCTTGTAATTTAGGATGTATATGTGCCTCCTTCAGAGACCACAGTGCAGTGATTTCATATATCAGTTTTTATTTCAGGGACAGATGAAAAATATTAGGTCGTCGGGAAAGTCTTGATGTGTTTTTCTCTATTTTTCTGTGCAAATATGACTCAATATATACCCAAATTTGTAGGCATCAGTGGAAGGTTAAAAAAATAAATGATTGAGGGGGCTGATTAGAAAAGTCAGTATTTAAAAGTTGGAAATGGAAATATTTCAGAGGATGTAACTCCTTGGAGTTTGTCCTCAACTTGGCTAGAAATCCTTGAAAACCTATGCCCATTGCTCAGACAGCATTCTTATTTTCAACACTGGGAAAATAATGTTGTATCAATAGTAGTGGTATTGGGGCCAGCAGGTGGTGTAGTGGTGAGGCACTGGACTCCCATATGGCCAACTACGGTTCGAGTCCTGGACCTAGCAGCCTGATTTTTACTTGCCTTCTCTCTCTCTCTGGTCATATTTAAAAAATAATGATGAATAAAATGAAATAAAATATTTCTAAAACGTTAAAAAAAAACTATAGTACTGGTATCATTGTAAACAAAAAATGCAATGTTTTGCATATTTTAAACAATGTAAGATAGAAAGGCTGTAGTAGGAAGTTACTCCTGTTGTACTTGATAAGGTATTGGACACTATGGTGGCTAGAACTATAGTTGTATTTAAAAGTGAGATAAAACTAATTTTAGCAGGGGTTGGCAAGTGGTGGGGTAGTTGAGGTGCTGTAGTCCCAAATGGTCAACCATGGTTTGAGTCCTGGATCTGGTATCTTGCTTTCTCACCTCCCCCCATTCTCTCTGTTCAGATTAAAAATAATGATGATAAGTAAAACTAATAAATAATTCTTTAAAAAATAACTTTAACAGATTTAGTAATCTAATTATTAAGACAAAAATAGTTATGGATTTTTAGGAAAAGGATACTTTTTTTTTTAATACTGTCAGAGGGCATGTGTACTTGCCAGAGAGAGACAGAGGCAAAGGGAGAAAGCCCCTCCTTATGGGGCATGAGCATAGCACAGTTCCCGTCTCCTCTCTTTCTCCATTCTGTTAGGGATTTTGTACATGCTAGTGTGTGTGCCTGGCATGTTTTTCAAGCTGCCAGGGCTGGGATTCAAACTGCTGTTGGCCCACTGGGTCTATCTCTTTTAACTAATAGGCCTTGGGACCAGCCCAGGACATAATTTTTTTTTTTTTTTGACAAGTAAAAGTTTCAGATGATTTTGGTGTTTATTTTAAAAGCTTTAGATAGTCATCGTTTATCCTGATCTTATTTTTTAATCTTCATTACTAGGGTTGATATTGCTGATAATATTAATGCCAGTGAAAGTAACAAAGAACCTGTGGCTAGTACTAATTTAGACAATGAAATTATGCAGCAAGATTTTGTATTTGGGGATGAAGAAAATAACCAGGTAAGAAATGTTAAAAATCTCAATGGTAGGTAAGTGTGATAGATATACATCTTTCATCGCTTTATGTATTCTTTTTTTTTAAAGAATTATTATTGAATTTTATTTGTTTATTCAGTTATTTATTTTAGTTTGACCAGAAAGAGATACAGAGAGAAGAAGGAGGGGGAGTGAGAAAGCAAACCACCAGATCCAGGACTTGAACCATGGTCGGTCATGTGGGAGTGTCCAGCACCTTAACTGCCACACCACCTGCTGGTCCCCAACTTTATGTATTCTTTTGATACTGGGAGTTTTAGTTAATTTTTGCCATCATACTTATTTGTCTCAATTATTAATTTCCTAGAACAACATACATTTTCTCAGTAGAGTCGAAACCATTATTGGGTAGGAATTATCATCATGTATAGGAATAGATATAAAATGCCTATTTTAAAATATTTTCTTGGAAAGAAGCAAATGATGACAATTATGTTAGCTGAGATGGTTAGGTGGTATTATGGTTGAATATGTTACTAATTTTTAGATTTTTGGTATAGGGTGCGTGTGCTTACTGGGGAGATGGAGAGAGAGAGAGTGAGAAATCACCCCCTGGGTGATTGCCACACTGCAATCCTTTTTTTTTCCATGTTCCTCTCAGGATTTTGGGCACATATACGCGCATGCCTGGCATGAGTTTCAAGTTTCAAGTCCGATACTCTGTGGTCGACCATGTGGGAGACCAGTGCTTTAACCAGTAGCCACCTTCTGGCCCTGAATTTGTTATTTTTAAAAGCTGTAATGGATTTTTTAGGATTTTCCCAAAGAACATGGTATAAGGGGAGAAAAATAACTCTGTACTCTTCATAACTCTTCCTTGGCATGGACCCCTCTAAAAATGACAGATTAACAAGAGAAAAATAATTTTAATAACATGTATACATAGAAGATACTTGGAAATCCAGTAAATCTCAAAGGAGTGATGTCTCACCATGCTCTGAAACAAAGAAAGATAGATGTGGGGGAGACCTAGTTATAATGAGACTACCAGGAAAAGCACCCTAATCAAGAATAAGGTTCATTATGTAGATTGACATGTTTCTAGTGATTTAATCTTCTCTTCCTAGTGTAGAGAGGAGTTAGTCCTTAGAAATGAAGATTTCCGGGCTGGCAGGTGGCATGGTGGTTAAGGGAACTGAATTCCCACAAGGCCAACTGTGGCTCCCGTCTTGGACCTGGTACTTGCTTTCTCACTTTCTCCCTCCTCCCTACATCTTTCCCTCTCCCCCACCCACTCTGGTCAAATTTAAATAAATAAGTTAAATAAATTCTTTTTTTTTTTTTAAATGGAGATTTCCAGGACCAGCAGTTGTAATGGCTATGTCGCTGGACTCCCATGTAGTTGACTGGGGTTCGAGTTCCGGACCCGGAAGAAAAAGAAAAAAAAAAATGTATTAAAAAATGGACCAGCAGTTGGCGTAATGGGTATGTCGCTGGACTCCCACGTAGTCGACCACGGTTCACGTCCCAGACCTGGTGGCTTAAAACTCACGCCGGGTGTGTGTGTGTACGTGCCCAAGATCCTGAGAGGAGAAGGGATTGCAGCATGACCATCCCCCCCTGGGGGGTGATTTCTTGCTTTCTGTCTCTCTGTCTGGCAAGCGCATGCGCCCTATAGTGAAAACCTCTCAAAAAAAAAAAAAAAAAAAAAAGAGTTCCGGACCCGGTGGCTTAAGCTCATTCCAGGCGCATGTGTGTGCATGCCCAAGATCCCAAGAGGAGAATGGAAGTGAAGGGATTGCTGCATGGCAATCACCCAGTGGGTATATGTGCCACGCTTTTTCAGTTCACACTAGAGACAAAGTGGAAAGAGGGTGGAAGGGGGAG